TCCTCCTCCTCCTCCTCCTCCTCTCCTCCTCCCTCCTCCTCCTCCTCCTCCTCCTCCTCCTCCTCCTCCTCCTCCCCCCCCCCCTCCCTCCCCCCAGGAAGGCACCAACTATGCACCAACACCGAGCCTGGCCCAGGATCACCCTGGGCCCAGGATCGGTGCAGACGCCCTCCCGCCTTGGTCAAGAAGGCATATATATATATATATATATATATATACACACCGATCCTGGGCCCAGGGTGATCCTGGGCCAGGATCGGTGTTGGTGTATCGTTGGTGCCCTCCGACCCACGCCCCGATGCGCAACACGCAACACGTGCGGTCAACCCGTGTCACAAGGCTGCGCGGTGAGGATGCGAGGGCCCTGGAGGGCCAGGTGGACGCTCTTCGAACGGGGCTGGCCAGCGAAGGTCGCTCGGTGTGGGCCGCAGGGGCAAGGATGCAAGGGTAGTACCCTTGGGAAGGCTGCCCATCCTTACTGACTACCTACCAGACCACCCCAACCCAAACCGAAGACCCGAATTTGACCTGAATTTCGAGTTGTGGGGGTACGGGTCCCTTGTGTTCTTTCAACGCTCCTCGACCCCCCCCCCCACTGGAAATGGAGGGCAGATTGACGCCTTCGGGTTGGGTTGGGGTGGTTTGGTGGGTGGTGACTTACTATGCGGTCATCTCCTCATCACGATGCCAATCTTAGGGATCCCCCTATTTTTTGCGGGCGGATCCCTAAGATTGTCATCGCCTTTTGGCGTGTCAGTCTTAGGGATAGGGATACGTTCGAGGCTGGTAATATGCGGGTCGACTGTACGAAGCTCCGCGCGTAGACTGAGGACGTCGGCCTGGCGCGCTGCGCTCGCCAGAACGTGGGCCAGCGCGTGCCAAGCCGACACGCAGCGTGTGAGCACGGACGTTTTTTCGGCACGGTGCGCACGGGAGCGCATCGGGGGAGCCAGCCTCCTCCAGCCCCCTTTCCAGCCTCCCCTCGCCTCCTCCAGCCTCGTCCGGCCTCCTCCTGCCTCGTCTTCCTAATTATTCCTCCTCCTCCTCCTCATCCTCCTTCTCCTCCTCCACTGCGTCTCCTTCAAAGAACACAGGACGTGTCCAGGCTGGGCCTGGCGTTTCGCCAGAGACTCCTCGCAAAGTATGACCTTGAAGCTTGAACTTTGCATCAATTCAAGGAGGCAGCCCTGGTGTTTTTCAACATGTGTTCTCGCTTTAGCGCCACGCACGCTCGTCTGAAAAAAAACTTGCAACAGCTTCAAGGATGGAGCCCAGATGAGTTTCGAAATGTGGCTCTCGCCTTAGCGCCGCGCAAATTTGAATTTAAAACGTGAAACACATTCTAAAATGGTGTCCAGGTGGTCATAAACATGTAGTTATCGCTTTGGCGCCGCGCACACTGATCGTAAACTCTTGCAACAATTTAGAGCATAGAAACTGGCTTGTTTTCAAAATGTATGTATCGCCTCAGTGTTGCGCACATCCATGCGACACAACCCTCACTGCCCTATGCAAAAACACACACATCGGCGCACATCCATCCGATCCAACCCTCAACTTCAGATTAAACATACCACTTCTCTCACATCCATACGGCCTAACACTTGCAACATTAAACAAAAACTGCTGTTGGGTCCGCATCCATACGACCCAACCCTTACCGAACAATAAAAAAAAATATTCAGTGCGCATCCTCCTGGCCAGCCTCACCATCCGATGCAGAATTAACTATTCAGCATACATCCATACGACCCAACCTTGATCATCCCATTCCGAAATACGATTCGGTGCACATCCATCCGGCACAACCCTCACCATCCTGTGCAAAAAAAGGCACGCGCGTGCCCATCCGTCCTACACGACCCTCACATTCCTAATTATATTAACAACAGGACCCGGTGCACAGACGCCGATCTTCAACATCGGCTCACGCCCTGGCTGCCTGGCCCCCGACCAGCCCCTGGGCACAACAGGTATGAAAAACACCACAGAGTCGATGGTGTCAGTGCAGTTCTTTTAGCTCGGACTGCGCGGCAGTCAAAACTGCGGGTGCGTCCCAGGGCCCTAGGACTAGGGCCAAAACAGCGGCGGGCAGCGTGCGTGCCACAAAACAAGACAAGCGTGTACATCATACACACACGGTGGCACGGGCGGCAGAGGGGCAGGGGAGTGCACTCTTCACAGATGGCAGGCTGCAGATACATCGGTACGCTGCGGGAAACCCCCGCCGGCTTCGATCTCTTGGGCCCGAGCGTTCCCCCCGGGCTGCCCGGGGCGCTCCCAGGACGCTCCACGGGCGCTCTCCCAGACGCTGCCGCCCCTTCCAAGGCGCGCCCAGGCTCGGCGTCGCCGCCAGCAGCAACGGCATCCACATCTAAAGGGAAATTAGGACACACAAATAAATACACACAAATAAAAATAGTCCCCATATTTTCTCATATTTTCTGATTTGTTGTCTTTCCCCCCAATTCCCATATTTTCCCATATTTTCCTGGAAGTCGACGATTAATTGTGTCTGTGTGTTTCTTCCCCTCCTGAACATCGTCGTCCCCCGCTTCCATGCGCGAGCGCGAGTTTGCACAGCGGGGCTCCTGCTTTGCTGGCGCCGCACACCATCGCTGTACACAACCCACCGTCGGGGCGTTGAACCTCTAAGGAACCCAAAATAAGAACTGGGCCCCTCCTCTCCAGAAGTTAGAAATTCGACTTCCCATCGGCAACCTAGGGAAAACCGGAGGCCAACTGCGAAACGATCAAGGAACACCGAGCCCCTCCCCAACGAAAAGGGTTCCTTCTTCAGCTCGGGTCGGGCGAAAGGGGGGGATAGCAAAGGGGGGGTTTGAGAATCAGCTCGCGTAGCTGATTCTCCCGGCGCCTCCCGGCGCCGGAGGCGGCTATGTATCGAGGAATGGGCCCCTCGGTGAGGCCGAAACCAGCTGCATGCAGCAAATTTCGTACCCCCCCCTTTCCCAATCCCCCCCTTTCGCCCGGCCCGATCAGCGCCCCGACTGTAAGTCAAGACAGAGGGCAGACCGCTCTCCGAAAAAGAGGGGGCGCTCGCCCTGGCGCCGCGCATGGCTCGGCTTCCGGAGTGTCCTGAAGCTGCGCGAGTGGAGGGCGAGTCCTTTCTGGGACTGTGGATGCCATGACAGCGGACACTCTAACAGTCCGATCATCGAACTCAAGATGTGTTTAAAAGGTGCAAACCATGTTCTGAAAAAAATGTTTCAAACATGTTCTTGACACACTTAAAAGATAGCTGACACATCTTTTAGACATCTGGAAATCGTTTGGCAGCATGCTCCCTCTCCATTAATCGCCTTCCACAATTCGAGGACGGTGGGGCATTGGAGAAAGAAGCCTTCAATTCGCCAGCCCAACAGGCCAAGGGCGTGCCAAGGTCCCCGGCAACTGGCTCGCAATATATTTCTAATTCGCGCGCGCAGGGCCGCCCCGGGGGTCCCCCGGACCAACAACACCCCGGCAAGGGTCCAGGCAGGCCCCAGCGCAAGGTTCTGGGCAGGCCCCGGGCAGGGCCCGGCAAGGTCCCAGCGGGCTCCCACGAGTGCTCCAGGAGCGCTGCAAGTAGTCCGAGACAGCTCAACATGGTCCTGGAGCGCTCCAGGAGTCGCTCCTGGAGCGCTCCAGAAGCGCTCCAGGAGCGAGGTCCGAGAGAGCTCAACATGGTCCGAGACGGTCCGAGAGCGACCCAAGACGCCAAAGATGGCCTCCAGACAACCCAAAGCGCCTTCAAGACGCCCCAAGAGGCATCCAAGAGACCTCCCAAGAGGGCCCACAGAGGCAGAAATTCATATTCCTCTAGCTTTTGAAAGTTGTTGGCGTTCTCGCCTTTTCGGCTTATAAGCGCTCCAAGACCGCCCAAGAAGCTTCCAGGATCGCCCCAACACGGCCCAAGAGGCCTCCAAGAGCGCCCAAAATGGCCCCAGAGGCCTCCAAAGTGGCCGACGAGGCTCCCCTCCAAGAGCGGGCCCAGACGGGGGACCCGAACGGACATTTCGAGCAGTAGGCGCAGAGGTCCCCTGGAGGCCCCAAGAGGCCCCCAAGAAGCCCCCAAGAGGCCCCCGAGAAGCCCCAAGACACAACCAAGAGGCCCCAACAGGCCCAAAGAGAACCCCCAAGAAGCCCCCAAGAGGCCCCAAGAGACCACGAACGCGCAGGCAAACGCCTGGGGTGGCACAGTATACGGGCCCGCGGAATGAGCGAAGCGATGAAATAAGAAATCCAAGGTCATCCAGGCGCCGTTTGGGACCTCCCCGGAGGCCCTCCGGGTCTTCGGGGCCTCTTGGAGCCTGGAGCCCTGGGTTCCTCTGGCCCCTCTTCCGGGCCCTCCGAGGCCGTCTCGGATCCCTCCGAAGCCCTCTTCGAGGCATGCCCAGGCGAATAACTGAGGAAGCCAAAAAGCCTTCACCACAAACCCTGCGGATGTTGATGATTTGGGCCGCTTCCGCCTCCTCTTGGCGCCTCTTGGAGCTCTCTTGCAACATATTGCGCCCATCTCGGGGCCTCTCCGGCCACGTTGGAATATATCGTACAAGGCCCCCCGGGCCGTTCTCAACGTCTCCCGGTTCTACGGTCGGCTGTCTGGCCGCCCGTTTTGCGCCCTCCTGGGCCGTCTTGGGGCGCGCCCAGGGGGGCCCTGGAAGGCCTCCTGAGGCCCCAGAAACTCGTGGCACTGCTCCTCTTCACCTCTCCGCCTCGCGCTCCACTCTCCTCCGTCGTTTTCGACACCTTCGGGTGCCCTTTGGGGCCGTTTTCGGAGCCTCTTGGGGCCCTCTGGTGGCCTTCCTCGGCTCGCTTCCGCGTCCTCTTAGACCCTCTGGGGCCATCTTGGCCCCTTCCACACACTCCGCGTCGAGGTGGAAGAGGAGCTATCTTAGACTCCCCCTCTCG